GTCCTGAGAGAGCAGGGATGCATGAATTTCTTCTGTAACATTTATATGCACAGGAAATGACTATTGACATAATCTTTAAACCTAATAGTTAAGATTATTTTTCAGTTTATAATTTAAAAGCTTCTGACAGCTAAATGCTATGGTATAATTTATAATGAAAGACTTTGAGTGATTGAGATGTATTTCACTGAGCTGGTTTCTCTTATGAATTGAAACTTGGACTTATATAAACATGGGAAGGGAAGCCCTTCCCAGGTTTTTATAGTTAGGCAAGAATATTTAATGTCTCTCATTCCCAACTGTGCTGCAGTACCATCTGGGCCATACTCAAAGTTTACAGGAAACAAATTTATAGGCTTTAAGGGGCATTAATTTTTTTTTTCAGTAAAACAGTCACATATAAGACCACCATCTACCAGTATGTAATAAAAAGTACACATTAATTTCTTTGAAATGTACAATTTTATAATATTTACCTAGAGCTCCTTTAAAAAAATTGGGATCTTAGCTTTTGGACATTTTTGTCATAGTAATAACAAAAACAAAACAAAAAAATATTAAAAAGTGTGCACCATGGAGAAAAACAGCAGTAGTTTACTACTAATTGTAAGTCACTTGGGAAACTGTGGATATTCTATCTTCCAGCAATGATTAAGAAAACAAATAATTTGTCACCAGATTAAAACAGAATCTGTTAGTTCTGGAACAAAGTTTATAGCTTTTCAAATAAAATACATGATTGATATAATCTGCAAATAACCTATATGTATTAGGAAAAAACATTTAGAGTAAGCCATCCTCTCAAAAAAAAGATCTTTAATATGTAAGTTTGGATCAAAGTAATCTGTTTCATTAATTGGGTTGGCAAAAAAAATTCGGTTTTTTCCTTAAGATGACTCTAGTAGTGCTTAGTTGTCTTTAATTTCATCTGAAACACTTTTGTTATATTGTATTGTGACAGCTATCATATCAGCATGTGTTTTAAAACAATCAAAATTGGTGAATTTTTGTGTAGCCATTTTAATATTGAAGATAGAAGAAAATAAGCAACATTTTTGGCATATTATGCTTTATTACCTAAAGAAAAGCAAAAATGCAACTGAAACGCAAAAAAAAAGGTTTTTGCAGTGTATGGAAAAGGTGCTGTGACTGACTGAACATGCCACAAGTGGTTTGGGAAGTTTCGTGTTGGAGATTTCTCGTAGGACGATGCTCCACAGTTGGGTAGACCCACTGAAGTTGATAGTGATCAAATTGAGACACTAAATGAAAACAATCATCATCATACCATGACATAGATAGCTGACATACTCAAAATATCCAAATCAATAAAGTTGTTGGTGAAAATGAAAATGTTTTTTATGGAAAAAACTAAGTGGACTTTTTGGCCAAACCAATATAGTTTTCTCTCCCTGTCAGCTAAGAACAATATAATTTTATATAATGCTTGCAAGCAACTTGTCTTATAATGATGCTAAATATAATTCATGTGTTGATTTCTAATGGAATCATATTGGCCACTACGGAGAAGTCTTTATTGGCTTATTTCCTCAGAATGGCATTTTGATACAGCGAAGCTGAAAGAAAAGAATAAATAATGTGCTAGAAAATATAGAATTTCCCTCTGCTTATTTGGGAGGGGTTGAGGGGGGAGAGAGAGAGAGAACACACGTGTGTGAGTGTGCATGCGCGCTACCAACCTTACTGGAGCCTGAGTACTTTCTTTTTAATTGATAATAACTGGTTAGTTGCTTTCATGAATATAACATGAGGCCTACTGAGAGAAAGAGAAATTGTTGATTAATTTAAATTAAAAAGCAATTTCAACTAACGTAATTACTGTGCATTTCAGTAAGGTCAATCAGCATTTTTCTTTTAGCACAGTTTCTTCTAAATTCAAACAGTCTCCATGAATACATAATGTCATTGTTAAGGATATCTGTAATCTACAGATTGAAGTATTTGGCTCTGAAAAGCCTCATAAAAATGCAGAACTACTTTTTTTATTACCAAGTAATGTGTGAACGGATATCCTCAACTTTATCCCAGACACCCACCTCCACTGTAAGATTTTTATTTTCCACTTCATTCCTTTTTTTTATTTTTATTTTTTAAAAGGGGTATATACATGCCCTGGGTGTGTGGCCAGTTGGTTGGAGCATCGTTCCCTGCACCAAAAGGTGGCAGGTTTAATTCCTCGTCAGAGCATACACCTAGGTTGCAGATTCGATTGGGCACATATGGGAGGCAACCAATCCATGTTTCTTTTTCACTTCGATGTCTCTCTCTTTTCCCTTCAAAAATCAATAAACATATCCTTGGGTGAGGACCTAAAAATGGGGGGGGTATGTATATACTTTTAAGATAGCTTATTGATGTATAATTGGCATAAAATAAACTGCACTGTATTTTTATAATCAGAAAAATAAACAATATTTTTAAAGTGTTGGAACTTATGCCTCTAAACAGGCATTTTCTTCTCCCCCCAAATTATCATTATAGAGGAATTTAAATGTATGTCATATCACTGAGAGAGTTGAACAAACTGATAGAAATTTAACAGAGGATTTCCCTTGCAGATTATGGAATAATACTATGATCCAAATGTACCCTTCCCAGTCTCAATATATATTCCAATAAGGACAGAATGGCGAAGAAGCTAATTCCAAGTAGATATCTACTAGAAAGATTTTAAAATGTAACTTCAGTATTTGTTAAATAGCTACAGAGACAGATGCAAACTTAACAGACTAAATTAATTTTCAAATTAGCACTTTATTTTATTTTATTTTAGTAATATCCCTTATCCTGACCATGCACCATTAATTAAAACAGCATGCTGCTTTGAACTTTTGGGTGAAAACATGCAATTTCTCTCCTGAGATTTTCCAACCTACCAAAATCTGTTAACACATTTAGCAATTCACTAAAAAGTTATGAAAACCTATGGCAGAAATATACTTCTTTGGCATTAAAACATCTATAACCGGACAAGAAGAAATAAAAAGTAATACCGTGAAAGGCAAAGTAATTATTTAACAGGATGACTTAGAAAAGTCTGATAATTTAACAAAAGGCAATTTTTTTCCCAATTAAATGCTTTAAAAACTGTGGCCAAATAGATTAGCAAGAAGGCCATTTTTTTCTGAAATTCCTGCTATCAAATTTAGTGTTTACAGTTCATTTCCAGGTAACTTTAAAGAAGGTGTGATTTCACTCGTTAAGATAGAATATTATTCTTAGCATTTTTTATGCCAATAACTTATAATACTGAAAGGCTGAATCCATTTCTCATTTTACTTTTTATCCCTTTCAATGTTATATGAGTAAATATATTCACAAATGTTTAAATATACAAATATTCTTGCTACATATTAATATGTACAAAGCTTTGATTACATATATTTTCTTTAAAGACATGCTTTCATCACATTACAAGCAGATATTCACATTAAGATAATAAAAATACCAAACTATCAGATATGAATGAAAATATGCTCATGTTCGGCTGATAGTTTTTGCCTTCAAATGGTCTTTTACTTCATTTCACCATCAAAAGCTGGAAGAAAACTGAGGTGAGGAGAAAATAAAGTGGTGGTTCCTCTTTAATTCAACTGAGCCCATTAATATGCCTTTCTATTTGCTAATCTTGAATCAAATTCAGCAACTTTAAAACAGGATCACTGAGGAATAAATGAACTTTACAACTAGAAAGTGGAACAATAAGAGACTGAGGGGAAAAACAAGAAAGGGAAATAAAAAGGAGATGTAAGTCAACAAAGTTATGACAAAAGAGCCTTTTTTTTTTTCTTTATGTACTTCTGTTGCACTCTGCTTTGAGATTCAGTATGTTCCCTGAATGATATCTCTGCTTCACAGCTCTGACCCCCAAGAGCCTGTTGAAAACTGAAACTGCTAGTACAACCCTTGGACACCTGACATACAGTGTGGTGGAAGAGGCCCAGAGCAGAGGGGTTCCCTGATTCTAGGTTCAAATCAGACCTGATGAATCCCAGGATGGTTGCTCAGTGCCCTCTGACCCCCTCAAGGTGCAGATCAGTGCCAGAATTCCCAAAACAGACAGGATTTCTCTCACTTCATGATGGCCAAGTAGGTAGACTGTGAACAAATGATGAGGGTAGAAGGAGCCTGGCCAAAGCTGTGACTGAAGGTCACAGGGGCTCATTCACTTTAGGGTGGCTGCACTCATACCTGCTAGTCCAGGACCTGAAAGAGAGTGGGGTGCATATGGGGTGACCAGGGAGAAGGGTGACAGACCGTGCTGCCCAGGGACACCCATCTGCTGTTCACACCAGAATGGATTCCTAACGCCTTCCACAATTTGGAAACATAATTACATGTAATCCTTTAGGATGATAGACAAGCCAGTCCTATGAGGCAGACTATTTCTAGTACTCTGAACAAGTTTTCTAAGCGGAAAAAAAAAAACCTAGTTATAGAAGTTACTGTATCATCGTATTACCTCAGCAGTCTTTTACACATATTCAGCTGAAACGGAATAAGTCATCTCATACCTTCCAACTGAAATGGTTTCTTAGACCAACTTTAAGTATAGACTGGTTTTTACAAAAAAGAAATATTGGTATATTACATACACAGCTTTTATCTTTTTAAACTAGGAAGACTATCGATATCAGCTTTTCAGTTTGTAATAAATACACTACAGAAAGTGTGTACATTTTGTGGATATATAGTTTTTTGCTTTTGTGTGTCTTGTCTTTTTTCCAAGTTTCTCCTACTCTATATAGTAAAGACTATCTCTCACACTGAATAGATAAGTTGTGTGTTTTATACAAGATTATTTCATTACACATTTATTTAGATTGGACAGATAAATCTGAAAACCTAACTAGGGATTCATATGTAAACTTTCAGAAATGATGTTTGTTAGGTCTGATGTAATAAATACAGAATGATTTCATACTGCTTAAAAACAATAGATACCATTTTCTTTCAGCACTCATCAGGGGACAGACAGCCTAAGGTTGTGAGTCTGCTGGGATATTGCCATGATTTGCTTTTTCTCCAGAGACAGAATGCTTCAGAAACTGACCAGTAGCACCAATGTATAATCTTGATCGCATGGGCCATTTCTGAAAAAGAATATTTAAGCAAGAACCCAAAAGTTAGTATCTATAACAGATATAAGATCATCTGTAATAATAATAATTCCAAATACTTCAATGCAAATGCAATCTTATGTAGCTAGTAACAATTGTAATTATGAAGTCTAAAGGACAATATGAAAAAATACTTATTAATGTTAACTATAAAAATAAAAATGTAAGTAGACTTTGATTATAACTGTATAAAATAATATATGTGCTTGTGAGCAAGAAATCATAGAGAAATTATAGAGGAGGAAAATATATCTACCTACTGTTTTAATTTCAAACTAAACCTAAAACAAAAGCCTAAAACAAGATTCTTGGCTTTAAAGATTTTTTTAAATTTACACGAGGTAAATGTTATGTGTCTATACTTGTCAAAGAACTACAGTGAGAAGTGGCTAATACAACTATCTAAACATTTTATCTAGCTAAAAACAATTATCTGGGAAGTTACAAACATTAGAACATCCAGATTAAATGTCTGGACACATTGGCATCACACAACTCTAATTTTTCATTATTTACCATATTTGTATTCTGACTGCGACTTTTTCTAAATTTGTCTTTAAAATGAATATAATTCATTTTAAACAATATAATTTATTGTCAAATAGGCATGATAATGGAAAAAACATATTACATTAATAGCTTTTTCAGAATAGACCTTTCCTTTTTGGAGGGTGGTGTCATATAACCAGTTTAGGTCTATTATCCTTGGAATACTAAGGGTTGCAATACCTTTAGTTAACCAAAAAATACAAATAATCAGAATATTTTTATTTGCATTAAATAATCAAATATAGATGTAATATTTAATCATTTTTGGAAGTGTCTGTAAAATAATGTGTTATAAATGGTTTCAATTTGTATATAAAATCTTCCTGTGAGCCTGCACAGCACATGGTTATAACTCTCTTACGGCACATACGACATTCTCCCTTGAGTATTTTTGTCTTTGTCTCTACCTTATGTTCATTTAGGGCAGGGATTGAGTCTTGCCCTTAACTGTATTCACTCTGCTAACACAGTGCTTTGCACATAGTAGGCAGTCAGTAAATGATTTTAAAACAGACTCATCACTTATTCAACCATCACTAATTTCATTAAGAGGTAATCCTTGACCTTGTTTCATTATCCCTAAAGTTGTCGTTTAAAATCAAAATAATCAATCCAGAGAACAATTGAGGTTTAATTTTTCTTTAAAAAAGTCATAGGACTACAAAAGTACTTGGTACATGAATCAAGTGCAAAAAAACCCTCTTGTTAAATTTATTATTACCTGAAAATTATGGTTCTAACATTATTTAAAAAAGCACTGCGAGAAACTAAGGTGAAAAACAACTTGATTTCTCATCTGAATTATATCTCTCACAAAGAGGCATTTAACAGATGCTTTTTGTAGTAAAGTCTACCTAATGTTAAAAATGTCAAGTCATAAAAATCTAATATTAATGATATTTGAATACCAATTTAATACACACTGTAAAATAAACCCCTTATTTAACAATGAATGACTTTTCAGCTGAGATTGTTAAACAGGGTGGGGAAAAAGTCAGTTTGCAGTTGTGAGTATGCAAAACAGAGTTTATTCTTGTATTATTATTTATTAATTATTGTATTATTTTCCATATGAACAACTGTAAACCTACTTTGGATCCACCCTGTATATAACATGTTAATGAATGGGAACTTTAATAATTATACATAAATATTTTAAATGTTTATGTTTAATATTTAAAATTGGGTAAGCCTATAATTATGTTGACTGTATTTGCAAAGTAAATTTTGTTAAATCTCACCACAGAATTTTAAGTTTAGTTAATATTAGAGGGTGTACTTTTTACCACATTTCAATGATTATTCAATAATTTATTGAATACTGATATACTTAAAGCTAAGTCATAATTTTGTGTTTGTGTGTGTGTGTGTGGCCAAATGTTCAGAATGGCGAAATCAAAAATTTGAAAATTTAGGTTTAGGAAACATAGGGAAGACAGCTTATTTTGAACAAAAAGCCAGATCAATGTAGAGTTTGAAAACAAGTATAGGAGAAAAAGATAATGCAGAGTCTAAATACTGACCAATCTACCTACCTATATGTAATGTAAAAAAATTATACAAAACAGATTATCCTGGCTAACTTTGTACATTACGGAATTTGAATATAGTATTTAGTCAGCTCACTCAACATATATACCAATTTATTATAAAAATTGCATAAACACATTATAGTTTTTCTAACACTCTTGGTGGCTGTCTAGTCCATGATGTTTGATGTTTAACGTTTAGTAAAACATACTGAAATTTATTCCGTGGGAATGCAAAATGATATCATTTTTTCTTATCAGTTTTACAAAAAAATTTCAACATTGGTTGCCTATGATTACTTACGGACAGATAATTCCATTGCCCCATATTTCATGAATATTTAATTTGTGAAACTTTTCAAACAGCTGGTAAAAATGACAATGGAAACGTAATTATGTAAATTAAAACCACTTAAAAACTCAAAGGCTTACCCTGGCAGGCGTGGCTAAATTAGTAGGAGAGTCCTCGGGTAAGCCGTAAATTGGAAGGAGGAGGGTTCAGTTCCCTGTCAGGGCACGTGCCTAGGTTTCATCCCCGTTTGGGGGTCACACGAAAAGTAACCAATCCATGTCTTTCTCACATCGATGTTTCTCTCCCTCCCTTCCCCTCTCTCTAAAATCAATAAGAAAAAAAGAAGGAAAAAAAAAAAAACCCAACCCTCTGATACTAAAAATTACCAAGTTGTGCAATCGAGCACCTTATCAGGCACTTCCGAGAGACCTCTTACCTGGCAAGGACCTCCTGTAGGTTGCATCCTCTAAGAAGCATGAGGCACCACTACCCAGCCAACACAGGTTGAAACCCACTATCTACGAACAGGGGACTTCGCGGGCCAAGTTCCCTTTGCCGGTCTGTTTCCTGCCTCACCCCGAGGTGGGGAGGAAAGCTCGGTGGCATCCGCTCAGGTGTTGGCAGACGTCAAGGTGCCCTGTTCCCCGCCCCAGTTCCGCCGTCGCCCTGCCCGCCTACCTTGACAGGGTGCAGGTAGCCGTCGCCGCGCAGGGCGCCCAGCCCAGGGTCCGCGGGCGCTTCGGCGTCGTCCTGCAGGCTGCGCGTAAGGTGTGCGATGTAGGTGGTAGCCAGCAGCAGCACGTCCAGCTTGGACAGCTTGGTGTCCGGAGGAACTGACGGCAGCGTGCGCTGCAGCTCCAGGAAGGCGTGCCTAAGAGTCTGCACCCGGCTGCGCTCCCGAGCTGCGTTAGCTGCCGCGGGCCGCCCGCCCCCCGAGCGCGCACCGCCTCCCGTGCCCGTCGACCCTGACCCTATCCGCCCGGGGCTCGACTCTCGAGTGGGGGCGGCAGCGGTGGTGGGCTCGGCGCTGGCAATCACGGGGCTGCTTGTGGGGCCGCTGCGGTCCATGGCGACGTCTCGCTCCGTGCGCGCTGCTAAGGACCGAAGGCGCAGTGAGGCTGGGGCGCCGGTCGGGCTTAACCCGGGGAGGCGCAGTCCCCTTGCTACTCCCGCGCGCCCGCTCGGCCGCCCGAAGTGCTCGGCGAGTTCTTAGAAAGGAGGCTGCTGTGACTGGAACGCGTTTGCCTCCCGCGTCTGGGGACGCTTTGGGATCTGAGAGTTCCTGGGCTCTTTAGAAAGCCGAGGAGGGGCGCGGTGTGGGCTTTACTGTTCACGGACAAATTAAGCGAAAGTGCTACTCTGCCGGGAAAGGGAGCTCTGTTTCGGAACTTGTTCGCACTTCTGGAATGTTATCCTGCCAGTCTCGCAGTAACGGTGGTGCTAATCATTTTCGCGAAGCATGGTACCCACGCCCCTCGTGACATTCGTTACCGAGGCACGGGACACGGGGAATGACGACGGGAGCCCAGGGTAATTTCTGCGGCAGGAGTGGGGGACCCCTGGCCTCACATTGGACTAAGGAACCTGCTACCCCCCGAGTCCGGGGCTGCACGGCGCGGCAGGGATCGGACCGGGGCCCTCACCTTTCCCAGAGCGACCGTGTGGAGCTATGCTCCGCTGCGCGAGCGGGCGAGGAGCGTCGAGCCGGTTGTGCGTGGCCAGGGCCGCGCGCCGATCACTCCATTCTCGTCCAGCCGAAGTCGACGGCCGCTTCCAGCCCCGGGTGGGCGCGCCTTTTATGCGGGAGTCCCCGAGGCCAGGCGGGCGTGCGGGCCGAGCAAGCTCGGTGCCCAGCCAAGACAACTGGACCCGCTGAGGTATGCGCCCACCTGGGGTGCTGTCCCGGGGGCCGCGTCCAGGCAGAGGCACCTCCTCAGCGGCCGGTGAGCATTAATCAAACCGTCCGGAGGGGCGGAGCCAGATGGGGCGGGACGTCCTGCTGGCCCCACCCCCTGTGCAACTAGAACCTCCCCTGCCAGGACTCTCCGAGCTCCGCATTCCGCGCCTGCGAGGTGGGAGGCCAGAGGGGACGGAGTCGCAGCCCAGGCTCCTGCGCGGCCCGAAAGTCCCCAACGTGGTGAGCCCCGGCGCCTGTAAGACGAGCACCGAGCTGAGGCGGGAACTCTGTCGTTTTGTGGAGCGTGACCTTCAATTTTCTGTGCGGCAGTGTGGCGTGTGCTGCTTCGCTGCGTTAGCCTTTTTATTCACCACGAGGTAAATGTTTCACGTTGTTCTAGACAACTTAAAAGCACTCGTGCCCCCCCACCGCGGTACTTTGTGACCAGTGTGTGAGCCGCGCAGAAATGAAGCGCACTCCCCTCGAACGCTCTCAAGTCAGTAAAACTTCAGGAAATTCCCCAAACCTGAGAAAACGGCCCTGGGGTGGCGGTCGCTTCTCCCCTGGGTGCGGACCCTTGGCCGCCCATCCGAAGCCCCCGCGGGACCCAGCTTGTGTCGTTATTTGGCCGGAAAATACGTCCTGGCCGCGTCCCCCTGCGGGGAACTAGCTGAGGTGCCTGGCCGTGGGCGGCCCGGCTGGGTCCGGGGCGGTGAGGGACCCCATCCTCCCGGTGCCCTGAGGCCCGCGGCTCCCCGGGCCCTCCGCGGACCGCGCGGGTCCGGATCCCTCGCCTTCCAGTGGGGAAGTCTGAGGAGACGCACAAGATTTTCTAGCAACTAATTAGTTTATCTCTGAAACAGTGCCTACAATTCGAAGGGCAGGGCATTTAAAAGTCTTATTTGGAGCCAAGACGGAATAACAAATTTATGATGTTCATAAAATTGTTCTTGTATATGCGACATTATTTCATACTTTTACAGCATATTTTCAAATTGGAACTACCAAATACAGCATAATAATGGTGGCATTTGAATATCTCTTCGTTCCACACTTTAGTATATTAGAGAATCAGAATAGTCCTCAGGCTTTTATGTCAATTCCCATTCAATAAATGCAATTAGTTTTACACTTGACATGCACGCAACACCATTGGTTCGAAAAAAGATTACTTACTAATGAATGAAAAAGCACGTCTTTATTTTCCCAGTAAATAATATGTAATGAATAAAACAATTGGAAAGCAATATTTCATATTCAGTGAAGAAGCAAATCAAACAAGAACTTAAAGGTTTTTCTCATATCATGAAGATAGATACCATAAAGATACAGACCACAAAAGATGAGGTTGCCTAGTTCGATAAGGGTGAAAAAAATCAAACATTTCAGAAATCTTAAGGCTGAGTTGACTCATTTTTTACAACGAAATTTTCTTTTACTTTTGGTTTATGGAGACGGTGAGGTTCATGCACATTTTTTTTTTTTTGGTCACAACCTTTCAGATTCCTTCAAAGAGAGAGTCCTGTTAATAGCAGGGGAGAGGGGAACTAGAATTAAATTATTTCAAAAATGAAAGTTATCCAAAACAGGTAACAAATATAGAATCTAGGACACACTAGCAGTAGTAAAGGCTAACGATTAGTCACCAAAATGTGTAAATCTTTTCAGAATTTAAAGAAAGCAGAAACAAAGATATTCACTCAGCCCCTGCTCACCCCCTTCATTGCTCAGGTAGGGAAGAATAGGAAAAGCTGAATTGGGAGATGTATGAAAATATAAATATTGGAGGGAAGGTGGGCCAGGACTAGGGCAAGGCAAACAAGGTGCCTAGGACTCCTTCAGCTTTGCACCCTTGGCATCTCACATCCTCACCGTAGCCCAACCCTAAGAGGTGGAGTGGTGGAGGGGGCACAATGGAGGGAGGCTAACAATGGCTGGCCTATGGGTCAGCTGTATTGCCCAAGCCAGGTTCTATAGAAAGGACTGATGTAACACATACAACCACTGCCCACCACCCCCTTGTCCTATCTGCTGCCACTCTAAATAGGCTCTCTGAATCCTCTGATGATTCTAGATTAGTCCTAATTCCTGCAAGAAACCAGTGTTTGCAGTTAAATTAAAAGATGAAAATCTTCAAATTTTCAACGTTACGTAAATCAGTGAAAGATAACTTATTTAACTATATGTGCAAAGTGCAAACCCTTTGAAGATTTTACATTTTACAGTTGAGAAAATAAAGCTCGGAGAGATTAAGTAATTTATCCAAGGCCACATAACTAGTAAGTAGAAGAGACAAGATTTAAGCCAAGCAGATTGACCCTATTGCTTGTGCTTGCTTGCTTGCTTTTTCTTTATTTCTCTCCTTCCTTCCTTCCTTCCTTCCTTCCTTCCTTCCTTCCTTCCTTCCTTCCTTCCTTCCTTCCTTCCTCCCTCCCTCCCTCCCTCCCTCCCTCCCTCCCTCCTTCCTTCCTTCCTTTCTTTCTTTCTTTCTTTTTACCATACTATTCTATTTACTATTTGTAGAGTTCTTCATAATCTGCAAGACACTTTTCGAATCTATTATCTCAATAAAGGGCATACTTTAACTTGACTCATTAACAATCCAGATACTATTTTCATAGTGTATCATTCTTTGAAGTTCTTGTCTAGGCTCCCAGAAAGTACATGGCTTTAGAGTGCTTTAAATTTCACAGAGTGTAATGTAGTTCTTAAAATCAAACTTGTCTTTTTTCTAAATATGTCAAATTACTTGCCTTCTTAATTCATGTCATATATTAATTGTCTTTATAAGGTAAAATAATTAAACAACCATGAAGAAAATATATAACTTGGTTTTATATATGTTTGCATATTATATCACAAAAGATTTTATATAATTAGTGCTTCTTTCACCTTTCAATTATTTCCCTCATTATTTAAGATATAATTGAAATCGTTAAATTCACCCTTTTGAGTATATATATAGTTCAGTAAGTTTTGATAAACATGTACAGTCATGTAACCACTACTACAATAAAGATTTGTAACATTCTTCCCCACCCTGCACCTCAAATTCCCTTGGGTTGACCCTTCGTAGTCAATCCCTAGTCCTTGGCAAGTACTGTTTTCTGTCCCTATGGTTTTGCCTTTGCCAGAATGTCTTAGTCATACAGTATGTAGCCTTTAAGCCTGACTTCTTATGTGAGTATAGGTCCATTTCATTTCAGAAAATACCTAGGAGTGGGACTGCTGGATGTGGTAAGTGCATGTTTAACTTTATAAGAATGTCAAACTATTTTCCAAAGGGACTGTGCTATTTTTGTATTGCCACCAGAAGTGCCTGAGAACCCTAGCTGTTTCATATCCTCACTAGCATTACCAGATTTTTTCTTTGTATCTGTTTTAATAGATTTTTTAAAGAAAAAAGATCCAGTATTTTAGAATCAGATGGTTTCACAATCTAGATTTCTTGCTTGCCAGATGATCTGATCTCTCAAATTCAGCATATCTGCTTGGCTACAATGTTTTAGAGCCAAGTATCCACAGCTACCTTTAGTTGGACATGTACTCTCCAATTTACCACAATCACATCCTCACTGGCTTCTTTCCCTTACTTTCTCTCTCTATAACTGAGGGTGTTTTTGAGACCCCCTCCTGGCAGAGTCATTGAGATCTTGGATCCTGGAGTCAGGGACCTGGATTGAAGTCCAGCTCTGGCAATAATGTGACTTTGGGCTCCTCTGACTGGGCCTCTCCATGGCAAATTCACTTCCCCATCTATAAAATGGGCTGGTGGTATTCTCGCCTCAAAGGGTTCTGCTATTTTTAAAAATTTGTTTGGGTAATGAAGATTCAACTTTGAAAATAGACATTTTAGAATGAAAAATAACTAATATGATTTTCATAAATTAGATCTTATGTATTATGTAACTCTTGTTAACAGAGTAAGCCATTGACAGAGTTGAAGAGTTGAGACTAGAAGTCACAAAAGCTACCTAAGATTGTTTTTAAAAATTTTGTTGCTTACCACAATTGCTTTTTCTTTTTTTGAGGGGTGTTGTGTCCTAATTTCAAAAGGGTATTTGGAGAATTGCAAATCAAAATCTTACCATTATACCTACATTACTGATACATATAATTTATTTTGCCTATAAAATTAATTAGCCTGAGGTTGGGTTTAACACAGCAAAATTAAAAGCATTTGGATAAGATAATCCCAGAGTTTTGTGACTAAAAATATTTTATAACTTTAAAAAATTCTTCTTGAAGCACATAGATCTGTTGTTACAACTGTTCAAACACAACCTTAACAGTGGTGAAAGCAAGTTGTTTTTACTGGATTAAAGTTCACTTTTTAAAATTAAAAAAATGAACACATAAAACATAGATACAGAAAAACTGGTAGTTTCCAGAAGGTTGGGCAGTCGGGGAAGGGACAAAAAGGTGAAGGGGATTAAGAGGTACAAACTTTTAACATAAGTCACAGGGACATAAAGCATAGGGAATATCAATAATATTACAATAACTTTGGTGGCAGATGGATAGTGGACTTTTTGTGGCAATCACTATGTTACACGCCTGAAACTAATGTAACATTTTATGTCAACTATACTTTAATTAGAAAGAGCTTTACATTCCAGAATAAAAAATTAGACATAAAAAGTTCACTTTTAACTCAGGGAGATCTAATGCTTCCATATTCTAGCTAAAGATAGAAGGTATTTTATAAATAGTTAAATAACATTCAGTGAACTTTTCCAAATTATGGGTCCCAGAGATTCACATTTATTAAAGGTATCTGAAACTAAGGACATTCTAATCCTGCCAGAAAGTTATTTTTGCATTAAAAGAGATGATTTGACTCTATTGATATTGCTTAGACTTGAAAGATAGTTAAATAACTAAGTATCAATTTGCTTTTTTTTCATTGCACAGTGCTCTACAGTATTCTCAATGGATCTTATTTACAATATATAAATGCATTTAATGTCTATTTTTAAATTACTGAGGCTCAAGTAACTTCTAATATGTTTGAAAAGAGGGGAAACATCTGTGACAAACACAGAAAGAAGGAATATGTACATTTTTTGTTTAATACCATATATTATTTTTAATTGAACCATGAAGGCATTTGTTCAGAATCAGACTTTAAATAAAAAATAGTTTTGAACTATTCTTTAATTAAAGTGTACATTGATAGTATCAAGTTCAGTTTGAGGGTCAAAAACAACGTCAGTGAGTCTGACTTTTTCCTCCCTGTAGGGAAAGCAGGCTTGTGTAAATATACATGAGCACAGACTGCATGCATTTATAAAGGAGGTGGAAAACATTCCCCTGTCATTGGACAGATGTTGCTCCACTGGGTTCCACAAGGATACAAGCTCAGCTCCCAGTGTGTGGAATCTTAGAGTGTGAGGCACATAGTTTAAGCATTTTGGAAGAAGCCCTTTAAGCTCCTTTCCACCTCTAAGCGGGCTCTTCACTTCAAATATTAAATGTAGACCTTATGCAAACTTGTCCACTGATTCTCCAGCTTAAGGTAGTTAAGGGAAAGAGTTGCTTTAATGAACTTCTTAGAAACTGAAAATCTATTCTTTGTGTTTGGGTTGGGTATTTTGTTTTTAACACTTTACTGACATTCTAGGTTTATTCTCAGTAACTCTTATTTTTACTACATTAGTAAAATGTTAGCAATAGGCACACCCTAAAAATCTATATGAAGAGCTTAATTAAATTCCATCATATATTTTGTCATCTTTTATATTAAAGAGAGGTAGAACTGATATTTCCATTCAATAAAACAAATGTTTTGCAGTAACAAAACACTATTTTGGTATGTTCCCAGTAAAAATGCCACCTGAGGTAATAAACATTTAAGACAAAATATTTATGTAATACTTTTTCACATTATAAAACTGAAAGACTCAGGATTGAACTTAATCAGGCTTACTGACAGTAGCAGCAGCAGGACATTTCTTTGTATTTTTCTCACAGGAACCACTCTATTCTGCTTGCTTCTATTGGGGCACTCTCTTAACAGCACATAGTAGTTAAAAATGCATTTAGCTCTGTATTGTGTTTCCAGTTAGGAAAACGAGGATAGAGTGATTTATTTGCTGTTTTCATCAGTGCGGTCTAGTGATTTGAGCTTTGCTTGGGGCTATAGAATATGTGGTATGTGTCACAGTTCACAACTGATCTTAATACATGTGGCAATGTATAGAATTTACCAACATAGTTTTCTGAGGCTGTGCCCATTTGTATTGTTTTCTTTTCTGTCTTGATGATGTACTAGCAAGACCTTTCAAAATGCTTGGCAAGAAACAAAACTCAAGAACACTATTGTGGAATTGACACCAGTTGTGTAAATCTTTAAGAACCTATTGCGGTGCTATGGACAGGCTGGCCAAGGTTTTGATGGTAATCACAATGGACATAAGCAGTAAAGCAAAATTTCACACAGCTTCCAATTTTTGTGTATGTGTGTGTGGATAGAGAGGAGGCAAGACCAAAACTGGGATTTCTTTCTCCTCTCACCAAATAAAGCATTTTCCAGACTCACAGGACTTTCTGTCCCTTCAGCCTCCATTAGGCAAGCCCAAGCCAGTCTTTAGGGAATGGAGGCCGGACAGTGTAGCATTGTTGTTTATGGGTCTTCGTTAGGAGGCTCCATTAAGAAATGCTAAGTCTTCATCCCTAGATTTGACCCTGCAAAGGGGGTCTCATGACAAACCCGCCTGACCCTTCCTGAAGGGTCAGTTCCTGAAAAGAAATCTATTCCAAAGTATGTCCACTGCCTCTGATTACTTTCTCAATGAAAAATGGGATTGCCCTTAATTATATCTTAATGACTGTCATTGGAAGGATCAACAGAGCAATCATTTTTTATTATAAATGAAAAAAGTTGAATGGATTATTTATAGGATGTATTAGGATCATTTTATAATGTCCTTAGCATTTATCACACTATATAGTAATTATATCACATATGAATCTCCAACTAGCTTGTTGCAAGACCTTTGAAATTAGGACTACTTCATTTCAGTTTTTATATCCAGTATTGTCAACATATAGCAGATGCTTATTAGTTTTATGAATAAATGAAATTATTTTCCATTATGGTTTCTCTTTATATCAATACAATATCATCTTTTAAAGTGATCAAAGTAATTTTCCTCTCATCAGGAGACTTATAGCTGATTCATATGGAACTAAATTATGTATATATTCAAGGTTTAGAACAGTATTCTTAAACTATTTTTTGTATCATAAGCCCCTTTGAGGATCTAATGAACTTCTAATGTCTTCCTCAGGGGCACCAGGTCAGAATCTTTGGTTTGGAGATTATGTGAAAGTAGCCTGCCTCTACAGTGCTCCAAGTTTCCCCTCCTATGTGCCACCAGCCCTTGCTGTAGTCAATCCACTTAGGCTGTAGTCATCCACTCACTTAGTGGATTGACTACCCATCATCATCTGGGCCTCAGGCTCCTTTGATTCCTGCTCATTCAGACATCTTTTCCTGCTGCTCCAGGACTTTCCTGAGTCGCCTGCCCTAACTCAATGCTGAGTCTAGTGGCTCCCAGCTCATCTTGATCCAACACTTTCACCTCAACTTTGTGATTGTTTGGGCAGATCAACAATGAACCTTTTTTGGGAGAGGGAGAGGGTGCTTGGCCAAGAGGAAATGAGAACAGAGAACTAGGAGAGACAGATGAAGGGCCTCTCTTCCTCTGTGTTGTTGACAATGAGGGTGTCCCATCCTCCCCGAAAAGATAAATTACACAAATACTTGAAAGAACCTACCTGACCTCTTCAGTAATTTTAGGGTCATCATCTTGGGAGCTTTCTGGAGATGCATTTCCATTAGTAAGATATCTCTGTGCCTCAGAGAAAAAGACTAATTTTGGCTTACCCACCTGTGGGTAATAAACAGGAACTATGTGATGCAATGTTTCAAAGCTACCTGTTGTGTACAAAGAATTAAGAACATTTTACTTTGATACTAATAATTAAATTGTAAACATGGCATTAGACGATCTAAAATTATATTTTGTGAAGTGGAATTAAATAGTTATATAGATTCATGGTAAAACCAATAAAAATTAATATCCAAGATAAAATATCATAGACTTTTGTACATAAAAATCTACACAGGAAAGTAAAATGGGTACAGCAACATTAATATAAAATCAACTGCCCTTGCATTTGCTGTTCTGAGTTTATTTTTACAGAGTGTTTAACCTTTAGTCACATATAGTTTTTGTGCAGATCAGTCACATGTAGTTTTTGGAATATGTTCATGCCTTTATTTTGGCACTTAACATTCCACATCATTACTGATCCTCCTCCCTTTCTAGTAGGGATTTCCATTTAAGAGGAGTCTGCCTTAATCATTTTTAATTCTCAGGGGCTAGCGTAGTCTGGATACATCTAAGGTGTTCAATAAATGTTTATTAAATGAATAAATTAATGCTCCTATTGAATCATTACAAAAGTAAATACTAAAAGATATGCATATATTTTGGATTTTGTTAAAGCAGTTTTGTTTTCAACTTCAGTAATATAGTTATGTGGTTATATTTAGGACAAGATTTTATTGTAAGATTCTTGAAGTTTGAGGTCATAATCCTTATAATTTTAGTATGTATCCCTAATATAGAACTCCAGATTTACAAGGCTATCAAAAATACATAAAAGGTCAGGAAGTACAAAAATTACTCTCTTCCTAAGAATTCCTGTTCACTTACAGTGTATTTGTTTGTACTGAGGTGTCTTTAAAAGGTTCATCTAAAGATCTGAAAGTACATTGTAGATTTTAAAAACATAAATCTTCTAGACTTTAATTCATGCTTTCCATTTCTCTTCAGCAGTAACAGAGTCTTCGCATGAAGACCATAGTGTAAGCTATTGGACACACACCTAAGGATAGAGTTATTGTGTGTTATATGCATGTATTCAGGGATGTCACTGTTTTTAAGTCTGACAGGCTCAGAACTCTATCATTTATTTGAATGGGGATGTTTGAATGAGCAGGGATCATATCATATCCTTCCTTCCTAAGGCTGAATAATATTCTGTTGTGTGTATATACCACATTTTCTATATCCATTCATCTATCAGTGGACATTTAGGTTGTTTCCACACCTTGGTTATTGTGAATGGTGCTACAGTGAACAAGGAGTGCTAATATCTCTTTGAGATATTTGGTTCTTTTTGATAAATACCCAGAAGTGGGATTGCTAGATTATATGGTAGTTCTATTTTTAAATTTTAAGGCACTGCCATACTGTTTTTCATAGTAATGGCACCATTTTACATTCCCACCAGTCATGTCCAAGGGTTCCAATTTTTTCAAAACCTTGCCAACATTTGTCTTTTTTTTAAATAATAACCATCATAACAGGTGTGAGGTGATAGTCATTGTGGTTTTGGTTTGCATTTCCCTGTTGATTATTAACATTCGGCATATTTTATATACCCATTGGCTATACATAGGTCTCCTTCGGAGTTATGTCTGTTCAAGTTATTAGCTTTTTTGCTATTGAGTTGTAGCAGTTTCTTTTTATTTTTGGAATTTAACCCTATATCAGATATACGGTTTGCAGATATTTTTTTCCCATTCTGTACTTTGCCTTTTCACTCTGTTGTTTCCTTAGCTATAGAAAATTTTCAGTTTGTCCCACTTGTTTATTTTTGTTATTGTTGTCTGTGCTTTTGGTGTCATATCAATGAAATCATTGCCAAGACCAATATCATGAAGCCTTTGCCTATGTTTTCTTGTAGGAGTTTCACAGTTTCAATTCTTATGTTTAAATCTTTAATCTATTTTGAGTTAAAATATTTTGTATGGCGTTAAATAAAGCTCAATTTCATTCTTTTGCATGTGATTATCCAGTTTTTGCAACAACATTTGTTAAAGAAACTATCCTTTCCCATTGTGCATTCTTGATACCCTTGTTGAAGATCAGTCGACCATATATGTGTGGATTTACTTTTGAGCTCTCTTTTCTGTTCCATATATCTATATGTATGTCTTATGCCATATGTTTTGATTTTTGTAGCTATGTAACATGTTTTGAAATCAGGAAGTGTGATGTCACCAGTTTTGTTGTTCTTTTTCAAGATTGACTTGACTATTTCGTGGTCTTTTGTGGTTCCATGTAAATTTTAAAATTGTTTTTTGTATTTTGATGAAAAATGCCACTGGGATTTTGATAGGGACTGCATTGAATTTGTAAACCACTTTGGGTGTTATAGACATTTTAACAGTATTAAATCTTCCTATCCATGAACACAGGATCTCTTTCCATTTCTTTGTCTTAATTTCTTTCATGAATGTTTTGTAGCTTTAAGTATACAGTTCTTTCATATCCTTAGTTAAATTTATTCCTAGGTATTTTATTCTTTTTGGTGCTATTGTAAGTGGAATTGTTTTCCTAATTTCCTCTTCAAATAGTTGTTTGTGCATCTATATTGCTTTAAGGATTGCTTTTGTTAATTAGTTGGAGATCATGTAAGATTATAAGGAGATTAATAGGATTTCATTGAAAAAAATGAAATGACAGTATAATTTTTTAAAATTGTAAACTTTTTAAGGCACATTATATTATTTTGTTGAATTTCATTGGAGAACTTAAAAATTCATCTAATTATGTCTGAATTAGGAAGAATTTATAAAATCTATTAAGGTGAAGAGAATTACATTGTTTTTAGAATAGGCTCAATTTTGGGGTGAGGGCTGGTATTGAATTCTATGAGTACTTCAATATTAATAAGATACCTTGACATCTTAGGTGTAATCCTGAATATATGTAAAATACTGGACTCCTTACCCTGGATCTAGTTCTGCCCTTCATAATGAGCTGGAGATAAACAGAGTAGGAGAAACGACTCCTGTCTATTTTATAGGTTTCAGATCTTGAGAAATTCATGTTACCAACACTATATCATCAATTCAGAAAGTCCCATTTTTTGATTTCCCACAGTTCATATTCAATGGGTACAATATAGCAAAATCATCAGAGCTTGATGCCTTTCCACTTCTGTTTTCCCTCACCTCAACTTCCTTGTCCTAGAATGATATGCTATTCTAGGATATGCTCCTAGGGTATGCTATTTATGCATAAAGCCTCACTATCCTGTTCCGGCATTCCTTCCCCTGTTCCCCTGGCCTAACTGCTTTCCATGTCTCCATCCCCTGTCAGTTGTGGAACAAGAAGACTATCATTAGCATTCCAACATTATCATGGAATGGAGGAAGGGGCTCATTCCAATGTATGGACCCCAATATGATACAGATAATTGTTACCCATTACACTTTGCTACATTTACTTGCATTACTTAGGCAAGGGAGGTTGGCACGTCCTTTGTAAAACAACCTTAGGCATATTAAAATATGCAAGTTTTGGGGTGTGCACATAAGAAAGGGGACAGGACACAGAGTAAAGCCCACAGCTGTGGTTATGATATATTTTCATTTTCTATCTGATAAAAAATGTAATTTTTGCACTGTTGCCAAATACACTATTGGCTAGGTTTCATACTTCACATAGCTGATTGTTATTTCACCATTTACGTAACTAATAATATCATGTACTTTTGCCAGATATAGAAGTGCATATTTTCCCATTTCCCCCCACTTCTATGACTGTTTACATAGCTTACACAGTTCTACTTAGTAGGAACCAAACACAGGTTTAGCTGATAGAGGCTCCCATTGTCAGTTATAAACATTGTAAGTTAAATTTCATAGGAATTCTAAATAAATTTAAAAATCAAAAGACTTAAATAAAATCTAAACAAATCTTCCTTATTTCCTGGCTTTTTTTTTTGGTGTTATTGAGTAGAATATTCCTTTTGCTAGTAGAAGTGGTCAACTATTGAATGACAGCCTACTTACATATGTATGAGTTACTTGCATCCTCTTTTTTGCTATTCATTTTCTTGCTGATTTTCTTGGCATCTTTGGATGCTTTCCAATTTATTAGAAATTGTCTTTCCATGTTTTTAATTTCTTTTCCATCAAGAAATTCTAGATAAAAATATATATGTTAAAATATATTAATGTCAATATATAGGCAAAATAAACACACTTCTGGTTTAGGGCACACAAACTTGTTACACTATTAGCTGAAATAAATTTCTTTTTAAAATAACTGATTTATGCAACTTCTGTATTTTTGTTTAAATTTCATTTATTTTTAAATATTTATTTCTGATTTCAAAAAGAATATGTGCTTATTATTATGATTATTATTATCCTCATCCATGGACATTCTCATTGATTTGAGAGGGAGGAGAAGGGAAGGAGGGAGAAATGGAGAGAAATGTGGATTGTGAAAGAAAAACATTGACCAGTTGCTTCTCATTGGCCCCTGACTGGGGACCAATCCTCAACATAGGCACATGCCCTGACCATGAATCGAACCTGTGATCTTTTGTTTATGGCATGATGCTCCTACCAACTGAGCCACGCCAGCCAGGGAAGAATATGTCCTTATTTATAAACAGCTGAAACATGATGGAAAAAAAATGAGGAGTAATTACTGTCCATAGCTCTCTTTCCCACCACTGACAGAGATAATCATTGTAAACAAAATTTGATGTATGGTCACTTTTCTAGGGTAATATGTAAATTATATTGTTATTTTTAAAAAACAAAATATCATACATAACAAAAACTAGTGTTACCTATTTATTTAAATAAGATGGTGGTTATTCTTAGGAAAAAGCAAAGATCTTAAAGTAAGTAAGAAATTTTATATATGCAACAGTGTTTGCAAAGCACATACATTAATAATGCTTACTATATCCTAGGACATAGGCTATAAACTAGGAACAACCTACATAGCTGGCCTCTTGGTTCGATGAAGTGAAATTTCAGCTATCTTTACGTTTTGTTCCTTTAAAAAAAGTTTTGAAAGTTGAGTATCTTAAATTACACAAATAATTTTTGTATGTTGTAATATATTTGGAGAATACGAAAAAATTGAAAAAGAAAAAAAATTAACATTGCCTGTATTCCACAATCAAAAATTATCACTAAAAATCACTGATGACACTTTAGTACATTTCTTAGCAATTTATTGTTTTCTGTGTATGTATGTATGTGTATTATGTAAAATTGTAATTTATATAGCATTACAGCCTACTTTTTAATATGGTATTGTGAGCATTTTACTATGTTTTTTAAAACACAATTTTTTGTTTTGTTTTGATTTAATTTTAGAGAGAGGGGTAGTGAGGGAGAAAGGGGAAGAGAAACAGCAATGTGAGGGAGAACCATCAATTGGCTGCCTTCCACATGTTTCCTGACCAGGGACCGAACTTATAACCCAGGCCTATGTGCCCTGACCAGGAATTGAACCGGCAACATTTTGGTTTGTGGTTTGATGCCCAACCAACTGAGCCACACCGGACAAGGTAAAACACAATTTTTAATAATTTTTATAGTGTTCTATTGTATATGGATATACTGTAAAGTTATAGGATATTTTATATGACCTTTTTAATCACATGAATACAGGTGGCCTTCATTAATGTAAAGACTATCTTTTCAAGCAAAATGTGTGTATCTAGCAGTTTTTAAAATTAAATAATATATTTTCTCTCATCATCCATGTAATGTGTTCTGCTATATTCCAGAATGTAGAAAGGATGTAGTGACATTTTGTGTGTGTGTGGTGGGGGGTCTTGTTCTTACAGGGGAAAATGACCATATCTTGATAAAATATTAATTGTTCTACTTAAAAGTGTTAACATTGCCACTTAAATATCCACAATACTGTTATATCCCAAATCAAGTGATGAAACTGGAAATATAAACTAGAACTGTAAACTCTGAAAGTATAATTGTTTCCATATCTTGTCTCATGTACTTATTTGAACTGAATAATAGCACTTTTTAAATTATAATGTAAGAAATTGGCTACATGTTTTATCATTATATATTTTAGTATTTATAAACTTTACATTAAAGGTTATTCTTTTATGGTCAGTTTTCCCAAATACTTGTGTTTGTTGATATCTTTCCAGATCTGTTTTTACTAATAATTATATAATTTATTAGTATATTTTTGGATGATATATGCATAAATCAATACATATTTTTAAAACACTTATTATAAGGATAAGGAATGAAAAATCCAAGTCTTTTAGCATAAACCTATTTCCTTACGTTAATGTTTCAGACAAAGCTGAGGAATGGTTAGGAGACTACGCCTGAGTAACTCTGATTCCATCTCAGTTTTAGCAAATGATCTTATCTGACGTTATTAGGTGTACAGGTGGTTCAGGAGTGGAAGCCAGGTAATGGACACAGCATCAGACACCTATGAGCTCTTTTTTAATAAGTTGCTTTCACTCATACTAAGTAAATCAAGTGTGTGGATTGTCATTCTATTTGGTAAGGAGTAGGTAACTTACAAAACAGAAAATGGCTCCCTATAATTCTTTTGACTGGGACATATCAAACCAGGTCCTCAATTAATTGTGTGTGTGTGTGTGTGTGTGTGTGTGTGTGTGTGTGGTTTTGGATTTAGGAAAAAAATAAAATAGGGCAAGCTACAATCAAAGAGGATTTGTTAAATATGTATATATGTATAGCAAAAAGACCGTAAAGACATATACTAAAGTGTTAACAGCAGATTTATTGCAGGATTATAAATGATATTTATCTTTTTTCTGTATTTTCTAGAAGAAATATGCATTGATCTTATAATCATAAAATATGTTATAGAAGAATTACTTTTTAAAAACTTTGAACGAATCCTTTTCGTTTGGAAATCAGTACACTTATCTCCATGTTTTACAGCATCGCCCATGGTCATAAGAAATGTTTCCAGACATGGTTCATGAACATTGGAAGATTCTTAATTATCAAACATTAATTGCATTTACTTTACTCTGCTTCCTAAGGAAAGTGGACTAATACAACTATGTGCGATGGGCAGAGAGGGGAGGAGATGGACAGTTTGGGGGTGGTGCATAGCTGAATAATCTGTAGATCTTTAAAAAGTATGCATGACTGTTCTCTGTTTCCTACTCTTGGCTGATGGGGTAAAGGGTTGGCAGGGTATAACTCTCATGCATATATTGTGAAAAACTGGCCTGGGTTTTTCTGATGTGCCTTCTGTCAATCCCTTCCTCCTCCAAGAGAATCACTGCACTAGCATTATGATTAGTTAAGGTTTTCTACAGCTATGAACTTTGAAATAGTTTTGCCATACATTAGTTTTTATACCCATGTCATGAAGTTCTGATATAGGAAACCAGTTCACAAATCTCCTTTGTAAGAGGGCAGTGTTTGTCTCTCTGATGCTGTATGACATGGTCCCTATACTGGTCCATTTCCCCAGTAGAGCGCATATTCAGGAATGTTATTATTTGTAAGGGAGGGTCTCATAAAAGACTTCCCACCCAGCTCTACTTTCAAATGAAAGGAACTCCTGTATGTTTTTAGGGTACCATTTAGAAGTGTCAGTAGTGAAAACCTTGATTGACTTTATCTACAGAACCAAGAAATAAAGTCTCAGGATCTGAAGAGGATTTGTGTACGTGGAAGTTTGGCAAAAGGTGAGCAAGTTCTATACATTTATGACTAACCATTTTTTTTCCTGTAACTGGCACATTTTCTTTTTTAAAGAAAGAGCCTCTGGTGCCTCAATTAATTGTTTGTGGATAGCAGATATTTCTATGCTTTATTTCTCAATTTTAACTTTTGCTATTATTAAAAAATATCACATTTAAAGTTCACCATTTTTGTAAATCCAGATGTCATATTATTATTTTTCTGAAGGTATGCTGATAAATTGATTAAAAAGTGAGCCAGGTCTCTTTCTCTAATAAAATTATATTAATATAATACAAATATGTACCCAGTGATTTGGAGACCAATATCAATCTGTCTCTGTATTTTGGTTGGAGACAAACAGGATTTCCATTTAGATCCATTTTCCACAGCTTCATCAGCTTGTTCAGTAAAAATTCCAAGTCCTATAATAATAGAAGGAAAAGACACAAATATATCATAGCTTTCAGTATTTCTTTCATTCAATTAACTGTTTGTAAAGGTAATTTTGTTTTTTGTGGCATTCTGGCTCAGTGCTAGATACTTAGAACGTGTACCATAAATCGTTTTTGGATAAAATCATCTATATAATCATAGAGGAGGCTAAAAGAAGGCAAAAAGTGAGGTTCTGAGTCAGGGGCCATGGAACAGTTCTTTGTCATAGTCCCTTAAATGGACCCAGTCTGAAAAAACTTTTGTTCCTCTGGCCAACCACCTTGCCAAAGATGCCCTATTCTTAGTGGAGTTTATGGAAGCTTCCAGATTAAAGCAATTAAGGAGTAGTGAGTAAGCAGTACATTGGCATTGCAAGGGGGATATATACATACACACATATGCTTTTTACTTTATAAACAATGCACATTCATTTTAAAAATCTGTAAAAACATAAAAGGAAAAATAGGGAAAAAAATCACTTGTGTGCTTATCACCAAAATATCACTTTCAATATGTTGTCATATTTCTTTCTAGTCTACTTTTTTGAGCATAAGGATTTATTTTTTAATTGTCATATGGGTACAGTTTTGTTTTACATGTATCATAAATACGTGTGTGTTTTTGTAGCTTACAAGAAAATCAGCTAATTTATATTTCAAGGAATAAGTTGTTCCATGGTATACAATTCAAATGAATGTGAGCAAAACTGATTAATGGCATTTAAGGACCAGCTCACTCAGCTTCCCCTTTTTATCTCTGCTTTCTTTTTATTTGGGTTTCTTTTTCCATCGTCACTATCTCTTTCTTCAATGCCTTGTTCTTTGTCATTCCTTTCCTTGCTTTCTCCCCTTCCTCATTTTTAAATATGTATATTTTATTTTAGCTATTTAATGGAAGTGAAATATACTTGGAGCATTTCTTACATGTATCCCAAATTTCTGTTTTTAATTTTTAAAATCAGGTAAATTTAATCTGTAATGAATTACTCAAGTCAAGCAATGCAAAAACTGTGTTCCTACTTTATAGTCTTCAATTGATTTTATAAAATTCAATGGCCACAGGCAAAAAATAAAGGAAAGGAAAACCACCTTTAGTAGGGCAAAAACATTAAAGCAAATATTTTGCTGCTATAAAAATAAGTGCTGATAATTAATTCTGTGGAGAGCTTTCTGGTTTTCAGAGCACTGCCAGATACGTGATCTTGCGCATATCTGGGGGTTGCTCCTTAGAATATGGTGGTAAGCATTGCCGAGTTAATGAAAATTGCAGAGGATAGCTGGGCTGAAGCGCCTATGAGTTTTCTATTTGTTTTCCTCAAGCCAAGACTGAAATTATCATAGGGTATAAGGGAAAATTAGGAAATACAAATTATAGAGTAATTCATACATGCTTTTAATTGCAAAGCTGAAAGTAATTGACAATGCATTGCCTGGTAGTTTTACTCCCTATATTATTTCCTCACCTTCAAAGCTTGATACCTCTCAGCCTAGTAGATCTATTTAACCTATTCTTACCTTCCATCTTATTTTTTGTTTGATCCATGTTTATTATTGCTTAGATACTTTATTTTTTTCATTTTTGGAAAAACTTCTTATACGACTTCCTTTATTTTTTAGATTTTATAAAACTTTTTTGTTCTGTGAAGCTTTCATATCTGTTCCCTTCCACATATAAAAAATCTCCATGCCCTGGCTAGTGTGGCTCAATTGGTTGAAGCATCATCCTGTAAACCAGAAGGCGATGGGTTTGATTCCCAGTCAGGGCACATACCTAGGTTGTGGGTTCATCCCAGGGTTGCATATGGGAGGCAACTGATAGATGTTTCTCTCTCACGTCAATGTTTCTGTCCCTCTCTCTCCCTCCCTTCCCCCTCTCTAAAATCAATAAACATGCATTCGGGTGAGGATTTAAAAAAAATCTCCACAAAACTCTTTCATATCATGAATGTAACAAATTTGGGACATAAAGATATATGCCTGCATCTACATGAAGAGATGCTATCTTTGGAGAATAATTAAAAGGACAGCTGGGTGTCTGGAACCCACTGCAGAATACCTGGTAGGTCTCTTAATCTTCCTGAGACTGATGTCTTCCTACATAAAGTGGTCAAAGTATTTCCAGTTCTGCCTACTTCATTATTCAACAAAAATCTTACTGAATCATGGAATAAATTCTGTGCTAGACTCCAGTCTAAAGTATCCAAATAATTTATGTGAAAAATAGGAATTGTTTTTTAAAAATCAGGCAATCCAAAACTGCTGCTTACTGTTTGACCTTAGGCTAGCCTGTATCCTCATTTATAAAGCAAGGATGATTAGGATTGGTTGCCATGGTAGATAAATGCCTGGAACAAAACAGGTAATAATAAATGTGTTAATTCTTTGCCTCTTTGCCTGTCCTTCCACCCCTCTGCTAATTTTTTTCTCTTCATTTCGGTCAGCAGAGAGCAAAAATTGTTTAACAAAGAATAAACTTCTGACCCACTGACATGCAGTTGACTTATGAAAAAGCTATGAAGTTATATCATCCTTCAGTCCATAGCCCTGGATTATGCTCTCTCCACAGCATTTATTTAACACTGTTTGATACAGCCATAATTATTTTATGTGAGAGTTTCTCTGTATTTGTCTTAGTCTATAAAAATCTCTAAGGAGAAATTGTGCATTGTATTTTATTTTTTAGTGTTGAATACGATGCTCCTCCATCCAAAAGTTAAGTAATAGTAACAATAAGAGAACTTTACATTTATATAGATAAGAGTCCTGTACAGTTTTGTTAATTGTCCCTCACTTGATAAATGACCCTCGACATACTCCCTCCAGTGCATGTTTATTTAAGACTAAACTAATCCTGTGCTGAAATATGATTACCCTTTGGATACGCTCTGGTTGTTCATTGCCTTCCTGTCTTTAATAAAATGCTTTCACTTTCCTGCCCTTCAATAAGTTACTAAAGGGAGCAGACACTTTTCTGGACAGTCTCTGTTTGATAAATGATCATGTCATGCTATCACGTAGAGGGGTGCTGCACAATCCTGGGGAGCCAATTCTATTTCCCACACAGGGCTGGTGCTGAGCTCCTGTATGGTGCCTGCAGCACTGGCAAATGCTCCCTCTACAATTAATGATGACCACTGATGAACCTGTATTTGACCAGAATGCTCCAATCTTTATCGGAAATGTCTGGCCCAACTGTCCTAACTAAATCTAAAGACAGCCATTTGTCATCCCTCTGACTGCCTGTCATCATCTGCCTGGGAAAATCTATAATTTTTGGCTTGTTTCTGACTAAACTGTGGAGTGAATAAATTTATCTTCGGGTTACTCTGCTTGTCAGGATCAATATTGAGCAGAGGTTGAATAAATTAGAAACTGGGAAAACATGACAGGCCATAGTGGTTTGCTCGTCTGTGTCTTATAAATCAAATATTTAGTTTATATAAGAGGCAAACATGTCAAGTTTTTTATTTCCACCATTCATTCTGAAGATACTTTACCTCATGATAAATAGACATCAGAAAACCAATGAAGTAAATCACTAATATATCTGACTGTGAAATTAACTTTTCAGATCGTTTTATTTATTTAGCAAACTTTGCAGACATAAAAACTGTAGGTATAGATTTAAATTTTTGTTCTTTCATATTTTTATACATTTTTAACCATATTTATTTGACTTTATAATGTCGGCAAGCTGTATAATGTTGGCCTTATTGAAGTTCATGGCTCATCCAACTACTTGGAGATAGGCAGTTTTATTGTAAATGGTCATTAAAGTAGTTAATATTTTAATACATTGATGCATAACCTTTTTAAAGGAACTACAGAAAAAATGCAAAGACGTTTTAACCAAAAGTAATGGTCATTTAAATGAGAGCATTGTGAGTTAAAAAATGAGTTTCTAAACTACGGAGTATTGTTTGGCCTAACTTCTCTTTCTCCTCTTCCTCAGGGCTTCACTTTGCTACCAATTTTATTGCGGAGAACTGGTTTATTTGCCCACAGAATTTTCTCATTTATCTGCCTTTGGTCTCACACTTCCTCTTTCTTTCCTCTTCCCCACTTTTCTCAACTAAGAAAGTGTCCCACCTCTTTTCCCAAATAATTGGTTCTCTCCATCCGTTGTCCTCGTCCACAGGCCTCCTCCTCTTGGGGTCTCCTTTCTCTTGCATTTCCATTTCCTATCTCTCCCTTTCCTCTGGCTTTTATACTGTCTCTCACCTACCATCACTACACTTCTTGAAAGAGCAGTCCACACCAGTGCTTCTCAAACTTTATGTGCGTAAGAATCACCTAGGGATCTTGTTTAAATGCAGGTTCTAATTTTTTTTACATCTGGGGCAGAGCCGAGATTCTGCATTTCTGAGGCTGAGCTCTCACCCTAGGACCACATTTGGAGTTATAAGGGCCCAGGCTACTGCCTCTGCTTCCTCAGTCATTTGGTACTCCTGCAGCCTGTGGCTTCTGAAGAGGCACTTCTAACCTTATCACACTGCCAATTTCGGACTTTCTCAGTCCCAGTTTTTTGGAGCACTTACACTACTCACTGTTCCCTTTATGGCTTTGTGATTCCACATTCTGTAGGCTCCCTGGATCTTCATGAATCTCTGACCCCACAAGTAACAAACCTCTGACCATAGGAATCCCTAATAAATGAACAGGCTCTTTCCAAAAGTTTCTTTTGAGATCAGAGAATATATCTCATAAAAAACAGTGCTATACCTGACAGACTGTTGCCTGAATAGGGCATAAAACAACCTATTTAATAGGATAAAATGCCCAAAGACTGTGTGGTGTGGTGCCATAAAATCTCATACTGCATCACCATGTTTCCCAAGTATTAGCGCTCCCACTGGGGAGCAGGAGCAGGAGCAGGTGTCCCTGTGGCAGACCATCAGGGATCAATTTACTTTCTTCCTTTTCTGTAATCTACATTTATCCTTTTCAGTGTTTTTTTTTTTTCCCCCTTCACAGCAAAATGTATATAAAAT